CGGCGAAGCTCTACAAGGTATCCTCCAAGACTTTGCCACTCGCGATGAAGCGGACCGACCTCCTGGCCTTGAGCGAGGGAAGGCTACAGAGATCTGAAATCAATGGTTTGTTCAGTATTCAGGGCTGCGTATATGACTGCTCAGTTTGGGTTGTTTCCGTCTTCAGCAGGATGCGGGCCACAGACAATTGAGCCGCTCATCATGTGTATGTACGGACTAAGAGTAGATTGAGTGACGATAACTATCAGCTATAACGGATTGATTGTACCAATATGCGTATAGTGTGATAAGTAGTAGTATGTTGCTGAAGACCCGGGGGAAGAGCATGCGTGCCTGTGAGTGCCTGTGAGTACGAAAAAACTCGGAAACAACCATGCAGGATTGTTGCATAAGCCTTAGTGCTCGGGTCTGCGGCGTCGAGGCTACAGCCCGTGAATCCTCAATCCCTACACAGGTCCTCTTTGAACATGCTCGAAGCTGTAATAACACCTACGACGGGTATAGGTTTAGATGGATGAGGCAGGGCCTGGCGGAGTTGTATGTTGATTTTGTGGGTTTCTAAATATATCACGAAACTGTACATATCCTAGAGCTCAGCCTATTTTGTGCACATACCTGGGGTCCCTCTCTCGGACTCCCAAACCGTGATGCGATAAACCGTGATAGCCTACACTGTCGAGGTGCTGGGCCCGGATCCTTCACTACCTGGGCCACCGGGTCTACTGACCTCATCCACGCCCGTTGTGCTTGGGACCACCTACCCATAACCCCACTGCCTTTAAACTGTATCCCCTCAAACTCTAAGCTGTTGAAATAAGTTGGAAGTGCTGACGTAAACCTGGACTGAATCTTGAGGTTTCTGAAACAACAGGTGCCTACGGCGTTTAGCAGGAGTTAAGTTGCATTTTCACGAAACAAATTAAATGCCAAGGGCACCAAGAACCAAAACCCTCAGAGGCCCCAAAAGCCACCACAAAAACCCCAAGCCCGGGCCAGCCCGGGCCCGGGCCTCAAGAGCTTCTCCAAAGAGCTGGTTCTTCAGCGCACCAACGGTTTGTCGGCGCGGATCTTCGACCTGAAGGCTGTGACCTGAACTCTTCGCAAGGCGCTTTAAGCAGGCTCAGGTCCTGGATGGGTTCTGTAAGGATTCTATATGAATTCAAGGGTCTTGATTCACGGCTGAAGGGCATGGAGGTTTGGAGTTGCATTTTTTCTGGAGCTGGTGTTTGGGCTTCTGGACTCAAAGCTTCAGGGTTTTCAGGATTCACAGCTTTGGCACCTCAGGGTTTCGGATCTCAGTATCTGGTTTAACGGGTTTCGGGCTTCAGGGCTTGAGGTTGTGATGAAAGCAGGGTATGGGATGCAGAGTTAGAGGGGGCATCGGTCGGCAGGTCCGGGCGGTTTCAAGAACCTCAAGTATAGTCAATATTGGTTCCAGAACATGTTCCGTGGTCTTGACAGTCATGAACGGAATTCATGATGCATGCGAAGTAAACCTTGAGCGGCAACGTTTGTCTGCCTCCTAAACCCTCAACCTACAACACAAACACAACACCCTAAACATTAAAACCAAAATTGTAATTTTCGGTCGACCGAGGCATGCACCTTAAACTTGTTTGATCGCCTCTCCAATCTACACAGTGAAATGCACAGCAACTCTTGGATACTTAAGTTTCGTCCATAGCTCATAGGGTGATGCTACAGTAATGCAAGGAGACCACCTGTATGTATGTGAGCTGCTCTACGGAGGTTGCAGGAAACACGTATCCATGCGGCAACAAGAGAAAATAACACAGTCCCTGAGTCGGTACCCTTCAGCACAGGATAACAGAGATCAACCCCCAAACCGCCTGAATTTAGGGGGTCACACGTTGATATCTGGTCGCGTGGTGGGGGGCCTGTATGTTCTAGGGCAGACACGGCAAGTGCTGTAAATTACGTGACTTCGTGCGTGTTGCTGTGGAAATGGAGGGATTCGTGCTTCAGGAAATCCAAGGACTCAAACTTACGGCACTCATTTTAGCACATGTTCCCCAAGTGATCCGCGACATCCGCTTTGGGACCGAACTGCGAGCGCCAGACCCAGCTGTAGATGTATTCAATGAGACGCACGTTGTATAAAGAGGCAAAATCGCTGTAAATAGCGAGTTTTGGACATGCTTGCAAAATGGCATGAACACTTGTGACACGCATCGTGTTGCTGAACATGAAACATTCTTCTGCAACATGTTGTATAAAGAGGCAAAAATGCTGCAAGTAGCAAGGTTTTGGGCATGTTCGCAAATGTCATGAACACTTGTGACCAGGCCTCGTCTTACTGAACATCAAACATCCTCCTGCGCATGTTGTATAAGCAGGCAAAAACGCCGCAAATAGCATTGGTTTTGGTTTGGTTTGTGTAAAATTTTCGTAACCACCCCACTCCCCCCCCCCCAAATCCCCCGCCAGCCCCATCCCCCCTCCCAACCCCCCTTTACCCCCTCTCCGGATACGATAAGTGAAGAAAAACACATGGCCAAATACGCGCGTGTGTGGGCTTAGGGCCTGCTGTTCGCATCTTCTAGCTGAGATCCGACACTCTGAGCCACAAAACCTAAACCTGAGCTGAAACTGATACACCTTTGGGAAACGCAGCACGTCAGGTCTTTCCCTGACGAGATGCGGCCCTGCTGAGAGGCGCCAGCCTGGCTCAGTTGATTTGAGGCTGACTCGGACGGCTCAAGGCCTCTATCTGGCTTAGGGCCTTGCTGTTCGGGAGTTAGTTTGCACGCTTCAAAGCCTTTAAAGCTTTAAAGAGTATGGAGCTTGGGACATGCTCGAAGGATCAGGGGAATTAGTAAGCGGGTAACTAGCATTGTACGTCAGATCGTCGTACCTCCATTCTGGCTACTTATAGCTGCAGACACTAAAATCGGCTGCTTGTGATTTACGGTGAAACTGTTTTGATCCTTCGGGGGCTAAAGAGATTTAGTACGTGGCCCTGGTTCCGTTAAGCTGCGCAGTCAGTCATCACGTCGACCTTCAACCCTGAAACACCAATGCAAATCCTGTTCCTTCGCTTAATTTGCATCCCAGTGCTTAGAGGAAGCCGCTGGAGGCGTGGGACAAGGACTGAGAACGGTACTCCTCCGTTGCTACTGCTGTCGGTGGTATGTTGCTTTCAGCGACTTGGGTCACGTCTCGAAGCACTTACACTCAGGATCGTAGCCCCCTCCATATGATGCTCGCTTGAGACTCTGCGATGCCTGGAAGACGTTGAAGTGCAGTGTAATTGGGTCCATCCCTGGCACCTGTCCTCGGCCACCTGCGCTAGAATCAAAAAGGCTCCAACACTTGACTTGCCTGAGGGTTCATTAAGATTTGCGGGTTCAGGGTGAGGTTTCTAGTCGGGCCCTTAAAGCTCCTCCTACTTCCCGTTGTGTTTGAAAGGACAGATGCGCGGTGCAAGCTTCTGCTGGGCCTCTCCCGAAGAACCATAGCGAGAAATGCGTTTGTGTTTAGGGTTGGGGAACTGTCGCAAACGGTTCTGGCAAAGTAACCTGTTGTTGGATTGCTGTTTCATTCGTGTCTGGATTTATCCCTGCATTGTGAGGCACCTGGGACTTCCGTGAAGTTACGGCTGCATGGTTCAGGGATTGATCCTACCAGGGGTCTAAGCACCCTCAAAGCAATTTGATCACTGACTCCCTATCGCCCATGGATAAACTCAGTACCTCAGATCCCCCCTTCAAACCCTCAAATCCAAATTGGTTGTCCTGGGCGGCGTTGTGGAAATCTTCTAGCCGGTGGTGACTGGGGTACAACCTAGATGCCGACCGGAGCGCGCCCCTTCAAAGAGTATCCGAATCTAGCCAGGCCGGAAACCCAACAACCTTTACTGAAACTATGCTGAAGCTGAAAGTCGAATCCTGCGGCGTAGAATATGATAATCTACTCCACCTTTCCGGGATAGTGACACTTCAGAGCCCATATATAAAATGCAAGGTACTCACGGTAAGGATCCGACTAGGTGGGCTTTACAAACAGCTGAGGCTGCCACCACACTTGGTGCTTGCCGGCTGTTTTTCCTAGCCTGCTACTCACTCTTTTGGTTTCAGCAGCTGCGGCATTGGAGCGTCAGGCATGCAGTGAGCAGACTCGATCCGTCATTTCGGAAATCTTAAGGAAAGTTGCAATGGTTGCAAAAAAATGAATAACAATCAAATATATATATATATATATATGTGTGTATATATATATATATATATTCATATCGAAAATGTGAGTGGCCCAGCCAGACGGTCTGCGTAGCTTCGGGGCTTTGCGAAGCCGATCCCGCCAAATTCAAGGAACTCAGAAAGCCTGTTGAGATCAGGACATGGAGCTGAAGATTCAGGGCTTGATTTTCGAGGGTACATGCAAGACAAATGCTCGCGCTGATTTTTGCCTTTGGCCACTCGCTGACCAAGCCTAGTCCTCTTGCCTACGGTTGCTAAGTCCACCTAGCATCTCCATCCCGTTTGGGAGGAGTTTGGGGATCGCTTTGCCCCTCGCTTGGTGGGCCGCGAACCAAGCCTTGGGTAGGCCCAAAGTCATGCAGAACCTCCAAAGCGCCCTATGAAGGATGCCCAAAGGCTTATAAGTTTGGAAAGGATGCACAAGTTCAGTAAACGAGGATCGAGGCTGGGTTTGAACCCAAATCCTGAACCACACACCAAAGAGATCGGAATCCTAGCTCGAAGCCACCGAAATCACTAGCTGTCTATGGGACTGTTCCTTCATGGGAGGACTTCGGCAGATCGGAGATAAGGGGTTCGAAGGCAATGCCAATTCAGCAGTGCCCGGGCCCCATGAATTCGCTCTATCTCTGCAAAAAAAAAATTGAAAATGTTGCTCAGCTCTGCAGCTTCTTGCTTACGGTGCCTTCAAGTCGCTTTCTTCGACCAGATCTGGGCGTTCTGTATCTTCGGGACTATGCTTTGGGTTGTCTTGCACGGGGGTCGTCCAGCATCCCAACCCTCTCAGTCGCCGGGATGTGCTGTTGCCTGGGCACGTCGGAAAGGTGTCTGCAAAGATGCTGTGCCACCAGCTCTGCCAACCCTAGAACCCTCGAAAAACTACGCCCTTAGCGTAACAGCCACCAGTCCAGCTTTGCCACTGTGTGCTTGTGAGGTGGGCTGGGCAGCTTTAGCCAGCTAAAAACTGAAAAGCGTAGATAAATATGCAAGAAAAGGCTTTGGGTTTCAGGGTTTTGGGTTTGAGCATCTCGCAGGATCAGGGCACTGCGTAAGCAGGCTTTGAGTGATGTGAAAGCTCCAGCTTACATAGACAACTCCACGAACCTCTTGGTAGAGAGAGGCTAGATCTTCGACTGCTTTACGTTTCGAGTGGAATACCTCTGCGACCGCTCAATCGGCATCTTGCTGTAGCGTTCTGGGGTTTGGGGCTTGGTCTACGACGTTTGCAGCTTACGCAATTCGAGTGTTTAGGGTTCAGGCTTTGGGGCTATAGTCGACTGCTTGCAGCAAGGAAGTTACACAAACTCCCGGTATTGCTGAGGAGCCATGCGTACACTCACCAAATCCCAGATGTAACCCCTACTCATACTTGCTGCGAGAGCACAGACCTCGCATCCAAGATAATCCAAGTGCCCTTAGAAGTTCCAGCCTTCCCAAGACAACGACACGGGACATCCAGGCCTGAACCCCAGCACTTAAACCTGAAGCCCTAAACCCTAAACCCTCTAGGCCTTCCCAGGAGTTACACCTCAGGACACTCTGAGTCCTGGAAGGGATCATACGGTCTGGGGGGTTTGGGTTTAAGGCTTGCGGGAATTTGGTTTAGGGCAGCATGCTGAAGGATGTCTCCCAAATAGCGTACTTTATTGAGCCTGTACTTTTGGCGGACCAAGACTCTGCATTACCTGAAGTAGCTGGCCAAAACTATGGAAACACTTATGGTACATTTCTTCAGCAGTAGTGTTCCCTCCTCAGAATGCGGCCCGGATGTTTGCCAACAGCTGCGGTGAAGTGGTGACGCCTTGCAGGTTGCCGTCGCCTAAGCTTCGCACACTTGCAGTCTCCGGCAATGCTCAAAACACCCTAAACCTAACACCTTAAGCCTAGACCTGCCCAGACCTGAACACTAAAGCCCGGCACCCCAGACAGCTGAACATCTTCGTTCCAGAACGTGTGATCACCAACATCAACATCAACCAACACCAGCACCAGCACCAGCGCCATCCCCACCACCAACAGCAACAGCAACAACTCTTGCGCCCACACCCGAAACCCTAAAACTCAATATGCTTCAACCGCTACAGGCTGAAACCTGAACTGCCCAGTCCCAAAAACCCCAAAATGGCTAAACATGAAACCAAACCCTGCAGTAGCAACCTGAAAAAGCAGAGCTGAGCGTCGAGCCATGAATCAATCAGACTTATAGAAAGTAAAATGTTGAACCTCAAGGCCAAAATGACTAAATCTCGCATGCAATGTAAGTAAACCTCAAACCTTCAGGTACTGAGTCTTAAATCCGAAAGTCTTGATCTCTACATCCAAAGTCACTGAGCCGAACCCTTCTTAGTCTCCGCCGGGGTCTGGGCCGCCCAGGTCAGCCAGAGCGACAACCAAGACCTGCTGAAGCTGGAAAGATCAGGGGACTTGCAAAGTGCATGGGGGGTCTTGGCGGTTTAGATTGGTGCTCAGGGCTACGCCTTGGGTCTACAAAGAGGAGCAGTGCACACATGTGCACACAGTAAGTTAGTCAGAGCTGACCTATAGTTTGAACGACCTCAGTTAGCGATAAGTAGGGTTGTGCGCATCGACTGGATCCAGGCTTGCACCTAGGGCAATCAACGGCATGCTGCCTTCAAAGCCCGAAACAAGTTCGAATGCTAATGCTGTTGCAACTTGGCGCCCGTGCGCTGCCGAAGGGCGTCCACGCGCCCTCCTTGCGAGACCACGCGCGAAGCCTCCGTCACGGGCTATCTATCTATCGATATATCTATCTACTTACCTATCTAAATATATATATATATACACATACACACATACATACATACATACATACATACATACATACATACATATGCCCAACAGATGGCTTCCAAGGATCTGCCGAGGGTTTACCTGGTGTTCCCCGCGACCCCTTTTATTCGGACCTGTCCGAAACTGGGCTTCGCTAACCTCTCCTTCGGGCTCATAGGTAAAAAAGGGCTTATGCCCGAAAGTGGCTTATTGCCTGCGATCCGGCTGAGAATGAACCAATGAGGCCCGATTCAACAGAAGTGGAGAGTGACAGGTCCATTTCGGATTCAGTGCTTGCAACAGTGGTTCAGGGGATAAAGCAGCTGAAGTATATATACATCCTACCGTGTTCACTAGAGATTAGACAAGGAGTCTTCCGAAGATTCGTAAGTTCGCCTACTGGGCAGCTGTGCTGTCGCATGGTTGGCCGATGGAGCCTTCGGCTTCGCTTTTCAGGTGCCGCCACCCCCTTGCTTCGTGATGTTGGTCAGTGCGTGCACGTCCTGTGACACATGAGCCTGCCCTTGAATGCAATTTGAGGGCCGGGGTTCTGCAGCCATAAGCTCTGTGATAGATAGAATTTCGCTTCATGTCCAATTGGTGGAATGAGCTGGACCTCACCCTCCGGAGGCAGCTCTCAGACGAAGGCCTGTAGTGTCAAACAAACCCTTCGTTTTCGCTGTTCTGTCTAGAGACACTTCGATGCAGGTCTAAGTGGTATGCCGCTGGAGTTTTGGGGCCGGGCTTTCCATGTGCTAGTGCCGGACTGGGAGGACCTTTTGGGCCAATTCTTTCGCTGGCCCTTGTTGGGGTACTCAGTAGCACCACGTGTTCTCCAGGAGAATTCCAAGGTGGAGCCGGAGATGGTGAAGAGGGTAGTGGTCAACCACCGTGTCGGTGGCTTTGCCAAGGATCTTGCTCAGTCATACCGTACAGGACGGCAGCTGCTTCAAAAATGACTTCTACTTGAAGCATTCATGAACTTAATTTCAATTAATGATTATCCCGGGCCCCATGCAAGCCCCAACCTACAAAACCGATCGAAACCCTAAACCCTGAACTTGAATCCCAATAGCTGTCCCTTAGCTCGGCCCCAAACTTTTCTTTGCTTCCATCGCCAGGATCACTCACTGATGGCTCATCGGCTGTGTCCGGACTTGCACGGAGAGGGGATAGCAAGGATCGTCTGAAACATATTGGGATATACAATTTATATAGAGTATACGATCGATAGTCCATTGCCCCCTTCCTCAGGAATCTTTCGACACGGACACGCGAAGTGACGGCGCAAAGCCTGCTGGAAGTGAGAGTCAGCAGGGCTAGGCTTTGAAGCTTGCTGGGCTGCTGGACTTAATTTTCAGTGGCACAACATCCCAAACTTCAGTTTCCACACTGGGCGGCATCTGAACATTTCTTCTTACAAGGTTTCGGCAAGCAAGGCTTCGCGATGCAATCGGCAGCATCTATACATACATGCAGTGCTGTGCTCTGAGGTGGTGAAACACGTGTGAGGGTGTGCCTTCTGGATTGGGTGGTGTACATTGATCCGTGTGCATGGCCTGAATGCGCAGGTGCTGCCTGGTCGCCTCTTCGACATCGAAGCTGAAGTGGCAGCGGCAGCAGCGACCCCGGATCCAGTGCAGCGTCGCAGGTCCTTCGGAGTTCTGAGTCGGTACACTGCATGCATGGGCTGAAACCGAACCGTTGTGCATGGGCTCTACAAGGGATTTTGTTCGAACAGATTTTATGGCTCTCGATCTTTGTTGTTGATCGAGGGCTCTAGTGCACCATGCCAATGGCTGGCAAAGTCGATGCGGAACGGGAGGCCTTGAAAGGCTTGGCTTCCGAATGGGAGGCATGCCAGACTACTAGGCGCCGTTTGCTGCTGGACCGGTTCTTATTGAAATGGCCCAAACCTGAACTTACTGGTGTGCCGTCTTACGCAAGTGCTTCGCTGAACTTCCACACATTGGAACCCTTGTTCCGTTTGTGGGCGGCAAACATGGCAATTCCAAAGACGCCCAGAGTGACTTCTCTTGTTGCAGAGGCCGGGACTTTGATAGTTCGTGTTCTACGCAAGAATTGATAGGATTAGCACGGCTATAGTTAACTTTGTGAAATCCCCACCAGGTGAAAGATGTTTGGAACCTCCTCGGCCAGAAATCAGGCAAGGGAGAGGTTCAATGCGATGCGTGGGGGCTTCGCAAATTTCTTTCCTTCTTCATAAAGCGTTTGGCGCAAACTACCAAGCCACGTGACTCTAGGCTGAAGCCGTGCAATCTTGCATTGTGCATGAGTGCAGTTCTGACTCGAAGCTGTAAGTTTCCATTTAAGGACAAGAACAACCGACAGCTGAAGAGACTCTTGCTGGAGTCGTGGTACCCTGACCGTGTGGCCGAGTTGCTGAGTGACAACGAAGAGGACCCTAGCTAGGTGTCCTCATGATACGTACTTGTTTCTGACAAACCCTGTAGTGACCCTCTGTTTCTCCCGCTTGTCTCTGATGAAACAGGATGCAGCGGAAGCAGCTGGGCAAGACGATGACGAGGACTACGAGGCCCCCGTAGACGACGCTGCACCCGAGGAGATGAATGGACTAGGGGAGGACCTTGTGCCTTTCATAAATGATCGACTAGATGATGAAAGTGAGGAGGAAGAGCCACCTACAGATGAGGTTTCGGGGCACTCGAATAAAGGTTCGAGCAGCAAAGCAGGAGCTGAGAATGAGGATTCCAGTGCAAAGCAACCTACGGAGGTCTCAATTGCAGGGGCTGAGAATGAGGATTCCAATGCAGAGCAACCTGCCCAGGTCTCGGGGCCCATGTCTAGCAACAGTGCTGTCCTGGCATCGTCGGCCGAAGCATCTGTGCAACCTGAGTTGATTGTTTGTTCGGATGAGGAAGAGGTCCCTAGGCGACCTATTCCCACACCGGCCCGAGCTTTGCAACAGCATGATCGTCTGAACAAGCTGAAGCAGCAACTCTTGCAACTGAGCCTTGTATGCAAATCTGACACGAGCATGGGTCTTAATTTGCCATATATCATACACTGTGGCGCATGTTTCGCCCAGGAAGCAGAGGAGGGGTGAGCTCAAGACGACCTTCCGCCGTGATGTTCCGGGCGAAGATCCCAGCCACTCGTCGTAGCAGTTGCTGTCCAAGTGACTGTTGCATCGATCGAAGCCCTAGCTAAGCCACCGAAGCCTCGGAATCGATCGAAACCTCAGGGTCCGAAACACAATATGGTACACTCCTACAAACTCGTTTTAAGCCATGCTGGTGCATTATAAAGGCCAGCGCGAAGCCCTAAACCATTACAAACCCCGTAATTTCAAACCCAAACAAAGCCCGTGAAACCCTAGCTAGTTGTGTTCAATTATTGATAGCTCCTGCATGCATGCCTCCTTGAGGCCCCAGTTGTCATCCAGAAACCCTACAACCGTGGAGTTGGGTTTGTTTCCAAATTAAAGCCCCAAGCCGGCCCAAACCATGAACAACCCTGTTATAAACCCTGTCTGCAGCCACCCTATATGCCTCCTGGCAGCCCCAGATTGCATGTGCCGGGAATCCCGAAACCCTACACACAACCCCACAGTTTATCACTGTTCTCAATATTAAACCTCACGCGAACCCTGAACAGCCCTAGCTGTTGTTAACCTCGGGTTTCTCCGTGTTCCCAAAATGGGAATGTCAGAAAACTAGGGTACCTTATCTTGGGGTCCTTATAATAAGGATCCTACTAGTTGAAGTCCTATATGAGGGTCCCTTATTTTCTGAAACTCCCAAATCCAAAACCCTGAACAACCCTGAGCCCCTTCCCAAATACATAATTGCAGCCAATGCCCAGGTCGTGTGGAGACCCAGGTGTACGACATCGAGGCAGCTGCTGAAAGCTGGCAGAAGCCCACGTTGGACGCAGAGCCGTTGAACCTGGACGGTGAGCCAGCTGCGGCTTCGGAGTCTGTTGGGGATCCAGGGAGCTTTGACACTTTGCCCCTGAAGAAACTACCTGACCCCGAATCTCCAAAGCCTGCAGAGTCACGTGGTGTTCAGCTTCATAGGGCAACAAGCTTCGCTGAACGTGCGCGGAGTTACGATGTCAAGGTCGGGGCTTCGGAATCGGATAAAGTACTGCATGTATTTATGTAGGGTTTCGATCAGGTTTTAATTCTCAGTCATATGATAGGTGTGTGGACCTGTGCTACAATCTTCCCTAAAGGCAGCCGCTGCTGAAGTCTTGACAAAGGAAAAGCAGGATGAGATGCTGGCAATGGCCAAAAGCAAGGAGGATGAGAAACCGGGTCACGGCCGGGGAGGTCGGGGCAGAGGCAGAGGCAGGGGAGGAAGAGGACGTGGTGGGAAGGAAAAACCTGAAGCTTCCGAGCAGACCGAAGCCCAGCCATCCGAGGAATCGGAGCCAAAAGAGCCGGCCGAAGTGCAGCCACCCAAAACGAGGAGGATCAGGAAAGGAAAGGAGAATGGACCGGACCCTGTCGAGCCCAATGCATCGGAAGCTGCCGAGCCGACCGAAGCCCAGCCACCCAAAGCGAAGAGGATCAGGAAAGGAAAGGAGAATGGACCGGACTCTGTCGAGCCCAATGCATCGGAAGCTGCCGAGCCGGCCGAAGCGCAGCTACCCAAACCAAAGAAGGTGAGGACCACACAAAATGATGCACCGCAAGCTGCCGAGCCAACCCAGCCACGCAAGGCCAAGGCGAAGAAACCCAAGGAGAATGCACCGCAAGCTGCCGAGCCAACCAAAGCCCAGCCATGCAAGGCCAAGGCGACGAAACCAAAGCAGAATGCAACGAAAGCCCCGGAGCCAACCGAAGCCGAGGCCTCCAAGCCGAAGAGGGCCAAGAGAACACACAAGAATGAAGCAGAAGCTGCCGAGCCGACCGCGGCCCGCAAGCCCAGAGGGACAGGAAAAGCAACGGAGAACACAT